AATGCTTCTATGACACCACTGTTAGTCCCATGCCACACCCATGTGATGACAAGTGTTGAATGCAACGTGTAATCATAAAAGGCCTGAAAATGACCCTCCAACCTCATTCTTTGCATTGACTCACCCATCACCATCATAGAAAGACGCCACCATCGTTGCATTCATTTTTAGCTTCAATTTGAAAAGCCTGTTACCGCAAAGCAGCATTCAATGTTACTATAACAATGGTTGAGGTGACTGTGTGTGAAGGAAAAGGTGTCAATCACAGTTATAGTACAACAGCTGATAATCTCCTTCCTCACAGCTGTACGAGATTTATTGCATCTTTCAGCTCAGTGTTTTGGTTTTACGGCCCACAAGTTAATAATTTACTCACCCAGTACCTTTTGAGGAATGTAATTATTTACAGAAGACACACTGAACCAGTATCTTTAACAGCCAGATTTATTATAACATTTCAGTTTCCTGAGATGACAAAAATGCTGATTAGGAAATTAACTGGTGTAATTTACAATTGCATTCCTAATTGGCAAAAGTTGTAAAAAAAAAAATGTGTCCTTCATGATTTTCAGATAAGTGCAGCCAGTCCTAGCAGAGTTCCTCCGAGGCCTGCTCCAGCGCTGGCTACCATTGTAGTGGCAGCTCCTGACAGACCAGCTGCACCTACAGCACGAGTATACGTTTTACATCAGGACATGGAGCTACAGAGAAGCCGAGTCTTGTCCTCAAGCTAAAAACACCAACCTTATTATAGACTACACAGCCGTGTCATTAAATTCTACCTAACACTTAGCCCAAAGCTAAAAAAACAACAATGCGAAATGACCATTAAGATACAACAGTTAAAACCACAAGATTCAAATACATTTTTTAAAATCAAGTAACGATGTTTACCAAATGCCTGCAAAACAGCCACTGTGCTCCCTGCTGCCACTGCGCCTCCGTTAGCCACTGCAGCAGCTGACATCATGCCGGCAGCATAGGATCCTGCTGCGATCCCAGCGGAGGTGAAACCTATGGCTCCCAGAACAAAAGGAGCTCCGACCACACCAACCGCTGCACATGAACAACACAGCAGAGGGACCTTTGTTGTTAATTATAGTGTGCTACTTTCTCAGGCCACTTTAAAATGGATGATGCATGATTTCATTTTTGCGTGTAAATGTTTTTTTGTCTTCTTTTTTTTGTTACAATAAACCTGTTAGAATCAGTTGGAAAAGTAAAAACGGTTGATCCAGAAAGTCTGTACAAAGTCATACCTGCTCCTCCTCCGAGTGCAACAAACGTCACTGAAAGATAAGATGAAAACCGAAATCAACATTTGCTGTGGTTCTGTAATAAAAGCATATAAGTGAAAGTAAATCAGTATTGTGAAAGGAACAGTGATACTCACATAGTCCCATCTCTTGCTGTAGTAGTAGCTACTGATGAGCTTGGGCGGTGGGCTTTATATACTGAGGGTGAGTATCATTTCTCATGAAATGAAACTGGGCGAATCTGAACAGAAGGGGGCGTCACAGAGATTCTGATGAGTCTAGAACTGTGCTGGGTTTTATATACTGAAGGTTAGTTAGGTACCACTTCATCAATTTATACGTACCATTTATTCAAAAATTAAACTTCAAGTCTGATCAAAAGAGAGCTTCACAGAGTCCATTCCACCCACATAAACACAAGTATTTAAATTCCTGAGGTGGTAGGTCATCACTATATTTAGAACATAACAACAAAGACAAAAGACAAACACTGAAGAGTTGCTAAACCAGTTCAGTTGTGAACCTGCATTCAGGACAAACTTTCATCTTTAAGCCACGATAGAAAATAATGTTTTGGCTCTGGAGGTCGTGGTGGCTTTTATCAAGGTCAAAGTAAATAAAGTACAATGTGAAGTATTTATACTTAAGAGATCATAATAGTGTTATTCCAGCATGTAAAGCCTGCTTTAAGGGTTAAAACGTATTCATCTATATTCATGTATACCAACAGTTAATTGCAATAAAAAAGGGATAATTCAGTGAAATCTGCTGTTTGAGTGAAAGCATATCTTAAATACATGATGGATGACTCTTAACTGTGTGAAAACAGTTTGATGTAATACTGAACCTTTATCAGTGGAGGGTGGTATTTCCCTCCTATGTGAACGTTATCACCTACAGCAAAGCTTCCTCAGGTCCCTTCATGTCGTGTTTGGGTGAAAATGAAAAGCTCATTTTTGTTTTACAGAAACATATCCAGTGATGAGCATCAAGCTGTTACAGATATAGTGGAAATACGTGTCTGTATACAACTGTAGGAGGATTCTGTGTTTCACGGGGGAAAAGTCTCTGCTGGTGTTTTGTTGATGTGGTCTGAGTTAATATTTGATTTAAGTGTATTGCTCAATATTTTGGTTCTATATCTTTTAAGTTTCTGATTTTCCTCTTCAATAAGGAGCTGGTACTTGGCAATCTCAGACTGGATGGAGCTAAGAAACGTGCTGCTCTGCTAAACTAATGACATTCCCATCAGACTCAGCTGTTTGTGTTTAGTGTGTTTAATCATGCTTAACTACAATGGTGAACATAGTTAACATTATACCTGCTGAACATCAGCATGTTGGCATGATTGACATGTGACGACTCACATTCCAGTGAGGAGACAAAACAAGTGTTGAATGACAATGTGCAATGAGAAAAGGCCTGAAAATGACTCTCCAGCCTCATTCTTGTGTTGATTCTCACATCACCGTCACACACAGACAGACATAGTTGCATCCATGTTTAGCTCCAGATGAAAGCCTGTGCATGTGGAGCATGCTGGATGGTTTAGTGTTGGAGCATATCAAGACATCCCAGAGCTCAACATGAGTTTGAATGTTATTTAGTACAGAAACCTGTTCTCATAGTAACAGGTTGTTGATATTATTGTTGGCAAGTTGTCATGTCAAGTAAGATTTTATTGTTTTAGGTTTTGTTAAATTGTTGTCAAGGTAAATACAAACAGCTGTTTGATACAGTGGGAAATCTATAAGAGAGAAGCAGGAAACCTGCTTCTGGTGATTATGAGGAATTGAAATATTTACAAACAAAAGACTGAACCAGTATGTTTCACAGGTTACAATGATTTATTGAACAAAACAAATCAGTTGTCTGAGATGACAAAAGTGTTCTTTAGGTAATATACTGATGTAATTTGCTATTGCCTCCTTCATTTGGCAAAAGTAAAAGTATTGTAACTGCGTCTTGTTCCTTCATGATTCTCAGCCAGTCAGCGATTCCACTGCTGCTCCGATGACTGCTCCGGTGGCTGCCACAGCTGCAGTGGCAGCTCCAGACAGACCAGCTGCACCTGCAGCAGGAGAACACAATTCATATCAGAATATGGAGCTACAGAGAAGCTGACAAAGTCTTGTTCTCAAACTAAAGGACTAAATAAAACAGTAGCATTATTACACACAGTGGTGTCATTATATTGTAAAAACACTGTATTGAAAACCAAGAGCTACTAATATCTTTCTGAAATGATTGTTTCTTTCAGTTCCAGGTTTGCAAACACCTGTGTAGCATTTTGTGATACTTCAGAAAGATATAAAAGGGAACATAATGCCCCTGTGATTATCATCCCAGCAATGATCAAATCATTAAGATTTTTTTTTAAAAACCACAAAATTTCAATATTTTTAAAATTAAAGAATGTTTGTTTACCTGCTGCCTGCAAACCAGCCACCAGACCGCCTGCTACCACTCCTCCTCCGTTAGCAACTGCAGCAGTCGACATCATACTAGCACCAATGGAGGCTGCTGCGATCCCAGCGGAGGTGAAACCTGCTGCTCCCAGAACAACAGGAGCCGCGACCACAGCACCTACTGCACCTGGACCACACAGCAGAGAGAACGTTGTTGTTCATGGTCTAATTTGTCAGGCTACTTTAACATGGATCATGAATGATATCAATTGAGTAAATGGCACTTTACATTAAAGTCTGTTTAAAAAGCACCAGTTTAAAAAGTAAACACATGTGATCCATGAAGGCTGTACAAAGTCTTACCTCCAACTATATACGCAGCAGTCCCTGAAATGCAGGATAAACATCGAAATCAACATTCACAGTTCATCTGGTTTATTCAAAGATATTTGCTGTGGTTACTATCATTACTTATTTTTTAATAAGACAAGCCTATATCAAAAAACTATCAGTACTTTCAAAGAAATATATCAGTATTGTCAAAGAACAGTGATACTCACCAAGGTCCATGTCTTTACCTGCTCTGGTTCTGATGAGTCTAGAACTGTGCTGGGTTTTATCTACTGAAGGTTAGTTCGGTACCATTTCTCCAAAAACGGAACTTAAAATCTGAACAAAAGACGGCGTCACCTGTGTCGCCACCTCCTCAGTAAGTAAAGCAGCTATTGGCTGTCCTAAAAGTTGCTAAATGACGTCATTACCAAATTTCCATAATTTCAAAAAGTGAGTAAAAAACACCTCAAATATGTTTAGAACTACAAATGAACTTTCTTCTGTTGGCTCTTTTTCCATCACTTCTTATGGACCCCATTGTTAATCCCCGTCATAACAGAGGGATTGTCAGTCCGTATAACCATTAACCATCTCATTAATAAGACATTTATATCTACAAACCGCTCTGCAAACATGGGCAGCATCAGCTGCCGCTTAGCGCATGCGCGATTCATTTGCAGTTTGGACGCGGAGAGTGCGTCGCCTCTTCTCTCTGGCTGTCGCTGAAACTACTGTGTGAGACTACTGTGAGACTGCCCGCCTGTGAGTGCTTTGGGACGGCGGAGGGGCTCACGGCAGCACCCACTGCTCGTTGAGGACAGTAACTGCAAATAAATCGCCACGAGGATTTGGAAAGGCGCCAGATTTAGTGAGAAGGTCGCCAAGTTGGCAACACTGGGCGCCATTATGCAAGTCCATTTACACAAGCAAAAAAAAAAATAGGTCAATGTTTTGTTTTGTTTGTTTTTTTACTTTTTCCGCCAGCAAAAAAAAAAAAAAATATATATATATATACACGTGGAAAAAATCATCAGCATACTTAAGGATGGTGACTGAATTGTCTTGGGCTGTGAAATTGTTGGTGTATAAGGAGAGGAGCCAATGTGATAAGACACAGATTGTCATAATCACAGGAAGCCACAGCTGATAATGTCCCGACTATGCAGTTATCCTCAGCTGTACGAGCTTCATATCTTTCAGAGTGGTGTTTGGGTTTTACGGCCCACAATTCAACTGTCGCTAGAAAGAAAATGCTGCTTTCATTTCAAAAAGTGAATGAACCAGTGAACACTTTCAATTACTAACTCAGTCCTTTTTGGTGGACATGATGAGGAATGGAAATGTTTACAGACGACACACATGGACCAGAATCTCTCAGAGGATGCACAGATTTATTGAACAAAACA